ATCCTCCCCCTCCGTCCTCCCCCTCCGTCCTCCCCCTCCTCCCGCTCCTCCCGCTCCTCCCGCTCCTTCTCCCGTTCCTTCTCCCGCACCTCATCCTGCTTCTCGTCCGCCCCTCGCGGAGCAGAGCCGCGTGGAGCCCGATTCGCACTGGCCTGCCGTGGGACAACAAATCCAGCAATTCCCTGGGCCCGACGACGACTTTTCCTCCGGCCTGTTTCCTTGGCCCGACGTGACGCGCGACACCCGACGGCGACTTTTCCTCTGGCCTGTTTCCCTGGCCCGACGTGACGCGCGACACCGTTTTGGGCGCGGGCTCGCCCCTGCTTTGGTTCCCCTACCCGGTTCCACCCCTCCACAGGTTTCCCTTGGGCCCACGACCGAGCATGTCGGCGGGACCTTTACGACTTTTAGTAGTATGGAGAAAAAAAAAAAAGAGGGGAAACTACATGGGTGTCACAAAAATGAGTTGTAATTGCACTATGCGCCAAGAGTCCAAGACACAGTTTCGAATACAACCCAACTTTCTGGCCAGGTAGGGTGCCCCAAGAGCAATTGCAAACTGTATCTTGCCCCATAGTGCAATTACAACTCGTGTTTTTGACTCTACTGAAGTTACCCCCCTAAAGAAAACGCAACCAACTGGCTCAACTCAGTTGGCACACCCAAGAACTGTTGAAATGGGGACCTGAGAACAAATCCTGCAACAGAACATGGACGGAAAGTAGAGGCGGCTGGCAGGGGGACGAAGGGGCTTACTGGTGCCCCCCAGTGGTGCTGGCTGGCCCCCGGGGCCGGGCTCTGTTTTTAGGAAGGGAGGGATGCTGGACCCGGTTTCCAGCTTTAGGTAGGATCTGTATGGCCTCAACTGTGCACTCACCTGGAAGATTTGTATGGCATAAAGCGCAGACGCACGCCTGCAGGTTTCTTGGTCAGGATCTAAAGACGCCATGCACGGCTGATACATGAGTACAAAGTTGGGGGTCAGAGATCTAAAGACCACTGATACACTCATACAACGGCGAGAGAGGGAAAGGAAAACGTACGCAGAAAGGCGGAAAACGCCAAGGGTCTGGAGCGGGAAAGAAGTCGGGACGCAGAACAACAACAATCGGCCCGCAGAGCCAGATCAATCCGTTGAACGCAAAGCATCAAGCACGACCTTGTCCAACGCAAGGTGGCGCAATATGGACAAAATAGCTGACGTTATTCATGACGGTCCCGGGGGTGTTTTTTCGCAGTGAGGTGGACATCATAATTTCTTTTTTGCATATTAATGATGTTTTTTTTTTTTTTAATTCAAGTATTTTAGAATATGACCTGAACCTGCGAGATAATCGCGGGAAATAGGTCCGAAACGTTTTTTCGGAATCGGGCACTACCTGGATGGAGATAGAGCAGTTAAAATGGAGCACCGAGGGTGTACTCGGTAAGCAGTCTGAGTGAGGCATGAGTAGAAGGACTGTTTAAAAGCGCAAATGCGGTTGCGCTGGCTACAATGTAATTTGTTTCACGATATGTAAAACTCCAAGTTACATTGCATTTACGAACTCTCGTATTGAACTAGAGGAACGACCTTGCAAATAAGTTTGGGAACGCTCCTCTGGTGCCATCTATGGAATCGTGATGCAGTGATTCCGATCGCTGAAACCACGAACAATCCATTGACGTGCATCCATTCTTACTTTGCGTTAATCTTTCTTGGTCTTTCTTGGTCTTAATTTTACTATATATATTTATTTATTCATTCATTCACAATTGAGATCGTACATATCAAGGTACGATCGGTGTGACTGCACTTACAGTGGATACAAGGGTGACTCGTGCGACTGCCAGGCGGAATGATCTGCGCGAAAGAGACGCTTGCTGAAGTTCTGCAACCAAGGTCGGTCTTCAAGGTCGAAGAGAGCGCATGCACGGACGCGGAAGGGGAAGAGGGCGGTGGTCAGGCTGTAGATGCTACAAGATGGAGTTCCCTGCACGAATGCAAACTCCGTCGACGCAAGTCGCAGCAACAGCAGCACAGACCACACAACCTCAAGGCGCTACTCCAACATCAACTATCGTACCAATGGCACCACCTATGGTGCACCCGATGGCGCAGCCAGTGCCTGTACCTTTCTATCAGCCGGGATATTATCCACCCCCATATGGGTGGCAAGGCGGATGGAATCAATCAGGCGTGGCGCGCCCGCCGTCGACGAACAAGTTCCCTGAACCAGGAAATCGAGCCTGGTTCACCAAGGAACACCTCAAGCTAATAGAAAAGTGGAAGGCGTGTGAATCGAGTGAGGAGAGTCGAAAGAGCGAGAAGGGGGAATCAAGTGGAGGAAGCAAAAGCAACAAGAAAGGAAGAGGGAGTACGGAATCGAAAAGCAGCGAGGAGCGACTGAAGTCGTGGATCTCCAGCACATTCGGGACATCGCTGAACAAGATCTCCGAGAAACTGGACGAGATCGAGGCGAAGACCAAGGCGAAAGGGAAGGCCGGAGGATCGGATGAAAAAGGAGATGGGAAGAATGAGATGGGAAGCCACGAAAAGAGAAAGAGAGGAGTAAACTCCCCAGCACTAAGCAAGGCGAAGGTGAGATCAAGGACAAGAAATGGAAGAGATGCAGTAATAGTACGGCAACCGAGAATCAACATCTCCTCGGATGACGAAGACGAGAAGGCCAAGGTCCGCACAAATTGTGGCATCGACGTCAAGCACGAGTTTGAAGGGAACGGCGGAAACAATAACTTAGATGAGATCCTGACCCTGCTAGGAGCACTAGCAGAAAAAGGAAAAGAGGGGACGTGAAGGCGAACAAATGGAAGGAGTAAGAGAGAGGGAGGAGAGAGAAAGAGAAATCGAGAAAAAAAGGAAAAGAGAGAAGGAGAAAAAAGAAAAGAGGGGGAAAGGAAAAACTCTGTCAGAGAGTGAAACAAAAACCGACACAAAAGGATCTGTCACAGGAGAGGAAATGGAAGGGAAGATGAAAGAAGGGGATGTCATGGAGTACATGAAAGGAAGGTTGGATTATTATATGGAAACGAGTGTGAAAATAGTGAAGGCATTATGTGTGAAGCGGGGTGTGAAGAATGCACGAAAGGACAAATGTGCATGGGAGCTGGCAAAACAAGACGTGGAACAATATACGAAGCTGGTAAACCACGAAGATGAAGACTACTCCGAGGAATCAGAAGACGACGACCAGGAGAACGAAGTGAGCAGCGAGCAATCAGCCGACGAGGACTCCAATGGCGTCACGGGAAATTAAATTTTCCCTCAAAACGAGCATAACAGCGTGTGATGAGAAAAATAAGTAGCCTGTTTGCAAGAGCCGAATTTTGAACTCGTGGTTTGGCCGATTTTAGGAAAAAGATTGAGAAGATTTTCAGATTAGGCGTAATCTTGGGTTCTGTCTCGGGACTCATGCGATGGGGTAGGAACTACGTGAAGTACTGGTCCGCTAAGCGTATAAAAGATCTGGAGTCACTACTAGGAGGCGAATCATGCGTGTACGTCATGATCTTGCCATTCTTCAGATCCACTTATGTCGGGCAGACTAGGAGAAAAATTGAGGAGAGATGGGCAGAGCATCGCAGAGACACGAGAAATGCACGATTTAAAGTGCACAAATGACTGGGAAAGAAAAGAAAGGAGAACTACACTATGATCCCATTGTGGTTTGGACACAAGGATGATTTTAAATGTATGAAAAACACGATAATTAAACATGAAAATCCCGGTCTGAATATGTGGAAACAAAATTAGAAAGAAAAACCACGACGATCTAGAAAGAAGGGCAATAAATTTATCCCTGCACCACAATGTAGGGAGTGGGAACCACTTTGTTTTTCTACTCCTGGTGTTGGGATAGATGGGACGATTATTCTTGTAAAAATTCTTAATGCTGCAAAAGGAAGAAGTCACCCCGTAAGAATCAGCAATGAATCTGCGAAAAAATGGGGGAAGACTTGGCGGGTGGTAAAAAAGATTTTTGGCTCTTGCAAAATCTGTATCAACGGAGCAAAACTATTGCTGAAGGATGCAAAATCGGAGATTGAAAAAAGCAGGGTATGGTTCGTAGAAGAAGTGGTAAAAACAATAACTAATGCAGACAGGCAAAAATCTGAGATAATCGCACTACTAAGGGCTCCGTGGAAACGGAAAGAGTTTGTAAAGAAGGAAACAACCGAGTTATTTGCTATGCTAAAAAGTTTGAGGGAAATTAATAACAAGAATGATAGACAAATATTACGTTGTGTTTTATCCAAAAAGCTAAAAAAGAGAGTCGATATCAATCCTAGAATTCGGTTGGCAGTAAAAATTCTGCTCAGTGACAATGTTAGTAAGAGAGAGGTAAGAGACGAGTTTTGCTCATGGATAGAGGAAAAGATTAAACCAAGGGAACTCAGTGACCTAATGCAGAAGAAACTTCGAGTGGTCTGGAATAAGTTCAAATCAATCGGAGATTTATTGCACAATCACAAACACAAAGCTAAGTCGGAAGGCGCTTGTGTTTGTGATGAATTTGACCTGTCCAAAGAAAACGGACATGTCCGAGTCCGATTGAGTGACATACCAGGGATTCATCCTTTCCTCTAGAACTCCAGAAACGTACGTACCCCTGGGCGAGTATGTAACTTAAATGATATTAAGGTAACCTGTGAAACTGCAGTGCAACCATTAAGGAAAACAAGTCTCATTGGATGGCTCGAAAATGTACCAGTAAAACCCATGAAAATGAGTGCGGGAAAGAACATGGCAAGATAATGTATCTAGGTAGAATACGTGAATGGAGTAAAAATTGCATTACAAGGACTAGTCCTCTCACCCCTTGACCAAAATCCTGGTGGCACGTTGGTCGAATGCCCCTGGCAGTATAGTCAAGGGATGATGAAGACATTTAACTCCAACAACAACTACCAAAAGATAGAAGCAGGGGAAGCAGAAATTCTGAAAGAAATGAAGGAAGAATTTTGGAAACGAAAACAGAACAGAATTGCAAACTGGAATCAGGACGGTCGAATTCAACATTCCTTCATAATGAGCAAAAATAAAGATTTGGACAAAAAACGACCAATATATCCCTCGTATCAAAGCCCCATAAGATCTGCATGTAAAACACTGACTCAAGCATTGAATTTAATGATCGAAAAAACAAAGAAAGATCATTTTAACATGAGAGCCACAAAAAAATTGAAACCGGAGATGAAAAGAATCAACGAGAAAGTGGAGAAACTTGGGCCGGATGCGGGAATTATGTGTCGGACATATGACATAAAAGAAATGTTCACTATGATACCCCACAGAGAAGTAAAAGACACGGTCCATTGGGTCATGAACGAAAATCAATAAGATTATTGGATCTGTAAAATCTGGTGGATTTTATCTTAGACCATGTATTTTTCAAATCTATGGAAGAAGTCTTACGACAACATACGGGCATTCCAATGGGGGGACATGCAAGCCCCTCATTAACATGCCTGGTGTGCATGCACGCCGAGTATAAGTTCATGAGATCTTTGGGTAAAGAAGCAAAATTTATCAGCGGAAAATGATTTATTGATGACCTGTTGCTGATCACTTGGTACGCAGACAGGGGGGAAAAGGAACAACAAATAAAATACTAGACAAGATAAGTGGATGCTATCACAGAAAGCTGATTCTGTAAAGAACTTATGATGGCAATAATATCACCGATTTTTTAGAGACAACCATAATGGTTACGGAGGGACCTAGTAGAATAATGTGCACACTTAAATTTAAAAACTTTGACAGCGTGTGGAAACTAAAATCTGCGAAAATCTTTACAACTAGGCGATTTGATTCATTTGGTTCCAAAGAGCAGAAAATGGCCTTCATAGTTGGGACGATACATAGGATAAACGCGAACACTTCTGAACCTGGAACATTGGTATTAAGCATGCTCACATTGCACAAGGAACTAAAAATGTTGGGATTCCCTAGCCACATGATTACAGAGGGAGTAAGAAAAGTGGCGAGGAGAGTGGGAGGGAGAATATGGCCTCAATTGTGCACTCACCTCGAAGATTTGTATGGCATAATGCGCAGACGCATGCCTGCAGGTTTCTTGGTCAGGATCTAAAGACGCCATGCACGACTGATACATGAGTACAAAGTTGGGGGTCAGAGATCTAAAGACCACTGATACACTCATACAACGGCGAGAGAGGGAAAGGAAAACGTATGCCGAAAGGCGGGAAACGCCAAGGGTCTAGAGCGGGAAAGAAGTCGGGACGCAGAACAACAGCAATCGGCCCGTAGAGCCAGATCAATCCGCCGAACGCAGAGCATCAAGCACGGCCTTGTCCAATGCGAGGTGGCGCAATATAGACAAAATAGGTGACGTTATTCATGACGGTCCCGGGGGTGTTTTTTCGCAGTGAGGTGGACATCATAATTTCTTTTTTGCATATTAATGATGTTTTTTCAAGTTTTTTCAAGTATTTCAGAATGATCTGGATGGCAGCATGGGGAAACCTCACGAACACAGACTTCCCATGGGACGTGGCAATCATCCTACTAGGCCACATTTCAAAGACCGGGACCCCATGGACAGATTTCCAGCTTAACCTATTCAAATACACAAGGCTGGAAGTCCTTATGGTAGCCTGGCGGGCAAGTGCTCTCATGAATACAAAGGACATACCTTTGGGTTTGTTCAAGCCAGGTTGCACATTATAGACACACTGAGGTGCAACATACACAAGGCCTGGACTCAACTGAGAGAAGATTTGAGCACAGCAACAGTCCGTATACGAAGACAGGAGCTGATCACAGCCTTCAAAACAACCTGGCTTGATCCGGACAATAAGATAGCTGATCTTGACGACGCACAACAACTAAAATGGAAACCCTGGTGGCAGACGGAAAGACAGTGGCGCAGAAAGCCACAGGCAATGTTTCGAAGACCTGAACCGGGACTTCCCATCATACAGATCACTCCAAATGACGACTCGTCCCTCCAACAACAACCGTCCACCCAGTCGATAGACCTCTCATCTCGTGCC